CATGACATAGTGGTATTAGAGCACGAGTTAATAACTCACACACTTGTCCAAAAAGAGCAATAAGCGTCTAGATAAGATCTAGGATGCATTTATGTGATAAATATGAATTTGGAAGCATTGATTATATGCCTAAATGTTTTGATATGAACAATTATATGTGTAAGTTGTGAACTACTTGCATTGGAAATTATCTGGGAATATGTGCTTCTTAGTGTGTGCATATTTGTGTACCTTTTGTATGAAATATAATGCAAGTTTAATTAGATTGTGAGAACAAGAGGAGATGAAATAGAAGAATTCTCAACTGCTAGAATGGACAGAATGGAAAGACTGATACAGGAAATGGCAGAAGCTTTGAGACAGCAACAGGAGTGGCAATAGCAGTGGCAGCAACCACATCCGCCACCTCCACCTCCGTCACCACCCGTGCCAGATAATTAGAATGATGACCGGATTATAGCTCTCACCAAGGAATTCAAGAAAATGAAACCACCACAGTTTCACGAGAGATTAGATCCGTTGAAAGCCGAAGCGTGGATCCTCGGCATTGAGAAATTATTTGAAGTGTTCCCTTGTTCAGAGACTCAGAAAGTGCTTCTAGCTACTTTTATGCTAGAAGACGAAGCAAGAAGATGGTGGATGTTGATGCGAGAAAATCATAAGGATATTGACTGGGTAAAGTTTCTAGAAATATTCTATGACAAGTACTTCCCGCAGTGTGTCCGGGATAAGAAAGTGGCAGAGTTCATGGAACTCAAGCAAGACAGCATGACTGTAGCTGAGTATGAGGCCAAATTCACTGAATTGGCCAGGTTTGCACCACATGTAATTGACACAAACTATAAGAAGGCAAGACATTTTGAAGGTGGACTCCGCAGTGACATCCTAGAGAGGGTGAATGTCCTAAAGCTGGAGACCTACATTGGGGTGCTAGATAGGGCCATCATATCAGAGGCTAACATAGCTAGACAAGCTAAGCCAGTAACAGAATGGAAAGGCAACAAAAAGCAAGGCTTCTTTTCGAAGAAGAAATTTCTGAAAAAGCAAAACACGAGCTCTTCAACTACTTCAAATTCTTCCGGAGACACAGCTCCCATGTGCAATATCTGTAGCAAAAGGCACCGTAGAGTCTGTTACCATGTATCAGGAGCCTGTTTCAAATGCGGGAAGCAAGGGCACATAGCCCGAGAATGTAATCAAAATAGTGGGAAACTAGCAGCTAGTTCCACTGCATCGATCCCGAAGTCGGGAAACACTTTGAAATCTACTACTACTGGGGATACAGTGAGACAGGGGAGAGTTTTTGCACTTGTTCCGGGCGATACACGGAATGCCAATGCCGTTGTCTCAGGTACTATTTCAATATGTAATCAGGATACCTTTGTATTAATTGATTCTGGATCAACGCACTCATTTATGACATATACATTTGCATCTAGACTTAATAGACCCGTAGAGTTATTGCCATATTTGTTATGTGTGTTTGCTCCATCGGGGGAATCTGTGTTATGTGATTAGATATATCGATTTTGTGACATGCATATCGAGGATGCTACCCTATATGTAGATTTGTTGCCCTTGAACTTTAGACATTTCGATGTAATTTTGGGCATGGATTGGTTGACCAAGTATTGTGCCACCATAGACTGTGTGACATAAAGGGTTGTATTTAACCCACCAGAACAGAAAGAGATTGTGTTTGTGGGTAATGGGGTAGTGCCTCCACCTTATTTGATATCTGCAATGAAAGCATGTAAACTGATCAGGAAAGGGTGCCACGGTTATTTGTGCTATGTGTTGTCTGAACAATCTAAGAATGTTGAATTGAATAATATTCCTATTGTTAGAGAATTTCCGGATGTGTTTCCGAATGAATTACCAGGGGAATTGGTAGACAGGGAGATAGAGTTTACTATTGAGACTGTGCCAGGCACCCAGCCTATTTCTAAAACTCCCTATAGAATGGCCACTGCCGAAATGAAAGAATTAAAGGAATAGTTGCAAGACCTTCTTGATAAAGGGTTTATCCGGCCTAGCACTTCGCCTTGGGGTGCACCAGTGTTATTTGTAAAGAAGAATGATGGTAGTTTGCGCCTGTGCATTGATTACCAGGAATTGAACAAGGTAACGATAAAGAACAAATATCCCTTGCCCCGTATTGATGACTTATTTGACCAGTTGTAGGGATCACAGGTGTTTTCTAAGATTGATTTGAGATCCGGGTATCATCAATCGAAGGTTAAGGCAGAGGATGTTGAGAAAACCGCATTCAAAACAAGGTATGGTCATTTTGAGTTTCTTGTTATGCCATTCGGGGTAATTAATGCTTCGACAGCATTTATGGACTTAATGAATAGAATTTTTAAAACCTATCTTGATGAGTTTGTTGTAGTCTTCATCGATGATATTTTGATATACTCTAGAGATAGACTTGAACATGAACATCATTTGATGACTGTTTTACAAATACTTTGGGAAAGAAAACTATTTGTTAAATTAAAGAAATATGAGTTTTGGTTGGATGAGGTTGTTTTCTTAGGGCATGTGATCAACAAGGAAGGAATTTCAGGGGACCCGCAGAAGATAGAGGCAATTGTGAATTGGCCTACACCGACTAATGTGACAGAAGTTCGCAGTTTCATGAGCTTAGCTGGGTACTACAGGAGGTTTGTGAAGGACTTTTTGTAATTAGCAGTACCTCTTACCCAATTGACACGTAAAGGACAACCATTTGAGTGGAATAGTGAAAGAGAATCAGCCTTTCATGAATTGAAGACAAGATTGACTACTGCACCAATTTTGACACTACCTTCAGGTACGGAAAATTTTGTGATTTTTAGTGATGCATCTTATAAGGGTTTGGGTTGTGTGTTAATACAGAACGGAAGGGTTATTGCTTACGCCTCCCGACAGTTGAGGCCGCACTAGAAGAATTATCCAACACATGACCTAGAATTGGCCGCAGTCGTTTTTGCTTTGAAAATCTGGCGACATTATTTGTATGGGGCAAAGTGTGAAGTCTACACGGATCATAAGAGCCTGAAATACTTCTTCACGCAGAAAGAGTTGAATATGCGTCAGAGAAGATGGCTAGAACTGATAAAAGACTACGATCTAGAGATTCAGTATCATCCCGGGAAAGCTAATACAGTGGCTGATGCCTTGAGTAGAAAATCAACAGGGAGTATGGCTTGTTTGCTTACTGAACAAAGGGAGATTTTGCAAGACTTTGAAAAGTCTGAAATTGAAGTGGTAGTATGTGAACAGGGCGGATTGATGGCTGCTATTACAGCCGAGCCGGCAATTGTTGATGAAATCAAGCAGAAACAGAAAGAGGATGAGTTTCTCAGAAAGGTAATTGATGAATTTAAGACAAGTCCAAAAGCATAATTTAGCATTGAGAATTAAGTGTTGAAATTTCGGAACTAAATATGTGTCCCAGATATCCCTAAACTAAAGAAGAGGGTTTTAGATGAAGCCCACAGGTCTGTATTTGCTATGCATCTGAGTAACAATAAAATGTATCGGGATTTGAAACAAACCTATTGGTGGCCTAAAATGAAGAAAGAGATTGCAGAATATGTGTCCAAGTGCCTTCAGTGTCGAGTTGGCTATAGCAGGCGGTCTACTTCAACTCTTCCCTAATTCTTGAAATGGAAGTGGACACATTGTGACTTATGGATTTCGTTGTTGCCTACTCGGACTTCTTCGAGGTAATGGATTCTGTTTGGGTATAGTTTGATTAGATCTGCTAAATCTGCACATTTTCTGCCTGTCAAACTACATTTACTGCTTTTATAGATTGGCTACTATTATGTTGATGAAATTGTCCGTTTACACGGAGTTCCAGTATTTATTGTGTCGGATAGAGATCCGAAAATTTGTATCTAGATTGTGAAGGTTTGCAGGAAGTCTATGGGAATAGAACTAAGGTTCCCAGTACTGCAGTTCACCCACAGACAGATAGGCCAGTCAGAACGAACGATACAGACATTGGAAGATTATGCTTCGCATGTGTGCTTTGGATTTTCCAGGGGAGTTGGAAGATTATTTGCCACTGTTGCAGAATTTGCTTATAATAACAGCTTCCACTCCGCAATCGTATGGGCACCATACGAGGCTTTGTATGGTAGGAGGTGTAAGATCACCTTATCATGTTGGACAGAAGGTCGGGATAGAGTTTTTGCTTGGGCCAGAAATTGTACAAGACACTTCTGAGAAAATCAAGACTATTGTCAAAGCTCAAAAACGCTCAGGACCGACAAAGAATTTTGCAGAGCATTCGGAGAAGACCTCTTGAGTATGAGGTTGGTGAACCAATGTGTTCATACCGTGTTTCCTCCGGATGAAAGGCCAAGTCAGATTTGGGGAAAGGGCCAAAGTTTTGTCGCCCCGTACATGGGGCGTTCCAGATTTTGGAGAGACTCGGTCCAGTTGCTTATAGAGTTGCTTTGCCACCGGGATTCGGCAAAATCCATAATGTGTTCATGGTGTCAATGGTTGAGGGGTTACCTCGAGACCCGTTACATGTGATTGATTATCACCGGGTTGCTATTGATAAAAATATAGAATGTGCCTGAATGGCCGAAAAGAATTGTTGACCCGACATAGTGAAAGAATTGACAAAACAAATCCATCCATGTGAAAGTGGAAATGGAAGGAACATATGGACATAGATGCTACAAATGGGAAAAAAGAGAGGAAAATGCGTCTAATCGCTATCATATTTGTTTCCAGACGAAGGTAAAATTCAAGTTTGGAGGACAACTTCCTAAAAGGGGGAAAGACTGTGATACCTCCTGTTTCCGTAGTATGCTAATTGGTCCTTTAATTTGAGTAATGATTTCAATGGTGTTTAGCATGATTTTAATGTGCCATTATATGAATATATGTTGATTTTGAAGTTTTATCTTTCACCGTAGGAAATATTATTTTGAATAATCTTGCTTTTGGAATTAAATTGAGGGCCTATCGGCTACAGAGAACCGAAAATTGATTACGCCATTATCGATTAGCGTATTTTAGAGCTACGGTGAAATTTAATTGAAAATTTATTGGGCAAATTAAACTGATTAAAATTGATGAATTGAGTGCCTAATTTTTTATTTAAAATAATTGTTAATGGGGCTTGTTGTATTTTAGCACTAACACTCTCCTTTAACTCTATTGAACTCAAAAATCTGAGTTATACATTGAGATTTGGAGAGGAGAGAACAGCTGTTAGGAGAGAGAGCGGAGAGAATTGGTGCATTGTGGTTCAAGACTTGGACCTTTTTGGAGATTAAGCTCAAGTATTGCTAAATTGGGGATTAAAGCTCCTTGGTGAGTGATTCATGCTTTATAGTCATCACCTTGTGAATTCAAGTTAATAGATGGTCAAGAGCATGAATAGTTTTGAATGTAAGGGAATTGAGTTGCCTTGTGTTCAATTGAACGTCAATGAAGGCATGCATGTATATAATTGTTGTGGAAATGCCATACTAGATGTATTGAGTTTGAACATGAAATAAGTGTTAAATCTTACAATGCAAGTATGCTTTTTGTTGTTTCCATGAGAATGAACACATTGCATTGTTTGGGATGGAAATGAAATCAAGATTAGCATGCATGTTTGAATAATTAAGATATGAGCTTTGAATGTATGATTTTGTTTGTATTAGAATGAGTTGATGGGAGATTGGGGCATGCATGTGAATTGATTGTGAATTGGGCTCCATTGTAATGTGTTTTGGTGTTTATGGCATGTTAGCATAACTATATTTGAGATTTGAGCCATAACATGCATGTTTTGTTGGTTGAAATTCGAATTGGAGCTCAAGAACTCAATCTGGAAAACCCAGATTTTTTATGTCCGCTCAAGCGGGAAAATTGTGCTCCCAGCACTTTTTGCAGAGTTGGATGTCCGCTCGAGCGGTATATATCACGCTCGAGCGGGGAGTTTTTGTAGACAGGCCTTCCGCTCGAGCGCTCTATCCCACGCTCGAGCATATTTTTCATGCAACCAGTACTTTTGCAGGTCCTAAGGGTCCGTTCGAGCGGGGAAGTTGACGCTCGAGTGGGGACCCTGCTCCCTGAAATTTTGTATGCTCGTTCTGTGTTTCGTTTTCCGTTCTCTTTCACTTGTAAGCACTCTTAGGCATATGTTAAGCATTATAAATGAGTTAATGAGATAAGAATAAAGCCTAAAGAGGAATATGTGAATCAAAGAACGGATTGAACTGTTAGTGACCCCCTTTGTGTTCATGAAATGTGTAGGGTGAAATGAAAAATATAAGACAATCATCAAGCTTTATTTCATACTTAAATCTAAATTCAACATGGATATATTACAGCCTCTATGGATAGTTTCATAATCAGGTTGCATCATATTCCATCACCCAAACAATCCGACAAAGTTCACAAAACAGAAAGTCATATATACCCTGCAAAGAAAGACAATGTGAGCGGCTATCAAGTCCTAACATTTTTATACCCTTGTAGACCCCCTTTATGATCCATAATTTTAGCAGTTCCATAGTTATAGAAATAGTAATTCCATTCCACAAAACCTTTTTTACCTCTTTGAATCCAAGAATGTCCACCAGTCATGGGCTATGAAAGAACAATTGCTGTGCTAATAAAGAAACAAGTATTTTTTTTAATAAATACTATAACAAGTATTGTGGTTGGCAAGTGATGGTTCTTATTTAGACAGTTAACTATACCTTTATAGAAGTGAAGTTAATCGTATGAGATATTGCTGGAGCCACCAATAGACTAGGATCAAAAGCATCCTGGGTGAAGGATCAGATTATTAAGAAAATGAATGAAATCATTTTAAACAAAGTTTTCCGTGATTAAATATGTAGTCTACTTCATTAATCTGAATCAACTTTAAAAAAATAATTATTTTTTAATTGGACTACTTCACATGGACAAGTGAAAGGGCTGGAATGGCAAACGCTAAGTCTATTTGTTTAATTTAAAGATATTTTAAGTTGCCTCAACCGTTCCTAGAAAATAAGGAGTGATTGAGTCCCACATCACACAAAAACTAGTTATATCATTATCACAGCTACTTGCCAAGTCAAAATACATGTGAGAAAAATAAAAGGAAAAATCATGCGAGTCTTATTTGAAAGTTTTGTACTCTATTTACCCATTGTTTAGGAAGTGGGTTTGAGGTTAAAATAGTCACAAAAAATAAAATAGGTTTTTTAATCCCAATAAGACAAAACATTACATCCAACTCATAATCATTACATTCTTTCTTTCACAAAAAGTCAAAAAAGCCAAAAAAGCCAAAAGCCCTTCCCAAACCAGACTTTTTAACCCCAGGCTAAAATAGCCAAAAAGCCAACCCACTTCCCAAATCAAGCCTTAATCTCAAAATCTTTTATTTATATCCAAAAGTCTCATGCGCATTTTTCTTCTTCTTTTTCTCTATGCCTTCGGTCTTCTCTGTTTCTCTCTCTTTCTGATTTGTGGCAACTGTCGACCATGCATACCTTCTTCTTTTTCTCTCTCTCTCTTTCTCTTTCTGATATATAGTCACTGGAGACCAGCGACTACCATCAATTCAGGTTCACTAGCAACCACCAACTCCTTACTTCACCTTTACTGATGGCAAAGGAGATGAGTTTCCAGCGAATAAGACAAGTAGATCTACATTAGATTCGACTAGATCTAAATCAAAAATAGTTGTCGGAGTACAATCCTCTCTATATCTATCTCTCTTTTTCGATCTCTCAATTTTTCTATATTTTCTCTGTTACACACTTCTTTTTGAGTTTTTTTTTTAAATATTCTAAAATAATAATAATAATTTAGAGAATTGACCCACTTTTCAAACTATTTGGAAACTAACCTGTTTTTTAAAATCACATTTTTGAAAAAGCGATTTTGAAATTAAAATTGCATTTTCAATATGCAATTTCACCTTGAAATCGTATGTTAAAAATGCAATTTCAAAAAGTGAAGTTTATGTCATCATAAATTGCATTTTCAACATGCGATTTTAAAAAGTAAGTTAGTTTCCCAAATAGTTTGAAAAGTGAGTCAATTCTCTAAATTATTGTTTTTTTAGAATATTTAAAAAAAAATCCTCTTTTCCTGTCTTAATGGAGAACATTTTCAAATTTTGAAAAAGTTGTTTACGAGTTTAGAACATGTTGTTTTCAGGTTTTAGTTACAGGCAGTGAAGACAGTAAAATTTACAGTTTCAATTTTTTTGGTGCTGAAATGAATCATGTTTTAAAATTACAAAATTTTACAGTTTCATAACTTGCTTTACAACTGTAAAATTTTGCAGTCTTTCATAACATGTTTTTCAATTTGATTAATAACGACAAATGTTTAATAGAATCATACTTTAAAACTAAAACAATTTTACAGTTTCAAAACTTGCTTTTCAATCTGATCAATATTAGAGATTATTTGCTTAAATCCTACAAAAGTTGAAAAATAACATATATTTTTTTCTTCCATTATTGTTGTTTGTTATTGTTATGTTCTTTTTTTTCTTTCAGTTTATCAATATTTAGCATATTTTTCTATACTTTTTCATTTATTCTTTTTCTTTGGGCAATATTCTATACATTATGGTGAGTCTCTAATGATATTCTTGACGTCCAGCGAACACTCTGGTTATTCCGGCGACTTCCAGTAACGTTCAGAACACTCCAACGAACTTATGTCAATACTCCGGTGACTTCCCGATGATATTGAACATTCTGGTGAGTCTCCGATGACCGTCTTAGGAAAGTTCGACGCTGATGGAATGTAGTAGCGTAAAAAAAAAAAATTTGTAACAATTAAAAATATGTACGACCAATTGGTATAAGTGTTTTGTTTTGAAATTAGATAGATTTTAAATTTTGTGTATGGAACCTATCGATAAATTCCCCAAAATAAAAAGGATCGCGTGGACCACATGACAAGCATTTGATAAGCAAATCTCCATATCTAGCCGTTAATGGGGAAGTAGTTGCAAAACTTGGATTCCAATTGAGGAATCATGGCACAAGTTCTTAAAAAAAAAAAAAAAACAAGGAATTATGGCACACTTGTTACAATCCGAAGCAGCCACATCCTGATAGTTGGCGGAGAAGTAGGAGGCAGTTTCTAGCAAGTTTTCACTATAACAGATTTCATGGCCAGCATTTGAAAGGCCAGTACAAAAACAACTTGTTAGTTCTTGCACACCCTACTTTCAATATATTTCTAGCAATTTCTAGCAAATTGTTCTAGTTTGATTATTCAATTTTAGCGATTAGCAATTTTTTTAAGTGTTTTTTTCTTTTCTTTTCTTTTGTTTTTGGGTAAATTGCACCACTAATTCCTTTAGTTTGAGTAAAATTTTATTTTGGTTCTACATGGTTTCAATTAGAATAATTTGGCTCCTACACTTTCAATTTTGTTGCAAATGTAGTTTCTACATCTGTGTTGTCAAGATTTTGAATGGAAAAAAAATCACATGCAAAATTAAAGAGACCAGAGTAGAATTCAAAACAATTGGTGATCCCTATAATTTGTTTTGAATTTCACTTTGGTTCTTCTTGTTTTGCACATGGCCTTTTTTCGTTCCAAATTCTAACGGTAAGTGATAGAGGGACCACATTACAACAAAATTGAAAATTAGTGTCCAAATTATTTGAATTCAGACTACAGGGACTTAAATAACACTTTCCTTAAACTATATGAACTAATGTACCCATTTTTTCATTTTGCTTCAATTGTACTTCATTCTTAGTCAATGCAAGTTCAATTTATCATTTTAGCACTCATCCATTGAGTCATTGTTTTTTGGGTGAATATTTGAGTTTTGAAACACCCCAAATTTCTAGCCCAAGTGATAATGCAACAATCATGGTTCTCTTAAAGGAAAATCAAATATAACTTCCCATACTTGCGTTACATAATAATAATAGTTCCTCATGCGATATTACATTGATTCAACAAGAAGTAAATAGCCAAATAAGCACCCCCAAGGGGTTAACAATCTTCAAAGACTTTTAAGCCCGGTTA